TTAATTATGTAGTTAGTGGCATTTATTAATGCTCCAGCGGGGGTTCCATTTCCGAAAAAAGCCTAAAATTACGCGACTTTGACGCCCGCCTCACGCGAACTCCACGGAACACCCATCATATCCCAGGGCATATTATTCAGATATTACTATATGGGGAATTACCGCGCTGCGGGAACGACGCGCGCCCGAATCCGTTCGCCTTCGCTCAGGAACTAAACTGAAACTGAACCGAACTGAACGGAACTGAGCTGTGAAAATACGCGAATTTCTTGGCCGCTCCGCTCGCCTTGCCAACTTTAATACGACATACGAAAAAATCCCCCAACGTTCTGCGGAGGCTCAGGCACGACAACCAACTGTAACGGGTTTCCACTTACAATGCAGGGAGTTGGGTTCGGTCTCGGTGTTAGGAATGGCTATGGGTAAGGGCTTTGGGGGTCTGGAAGGACGATTGCATGGGCACAAGCCTCGGTTCGCTTGCAAATTGGTGTTGGGTTCCCTGGAAGTGTGTTTGGGATTTTCTAATCCCCATGCCCCAGCCCCAAATGAGAAAAGAGCGATCAAATGAATGGTCTGTTTCCAATAACTGTCACGTATCCATCTGTGAGTTTGTGGATAGTTATGGAAAAATATCATAATATAATCAAGGAAATTCTGATTATTTTCAAAATTGAGTTTTGTAATTGATATAAATAGGGATTTCAAAGAATAAGGAATGGTTACAGTTTTGGTTTTTAATTTGTATCATTTAGGTGTTTGTGATCCTTGAGGTTTAGGCATCTTTCATATAAAATATCTAGTGTGTAGAGTCTAGATATATCCCTAACAGTTGGTGTTGACTGACATCGGTGGGGCTTTCCAACAAAGTGCATGCGAGTTGACTTGAAAATTCCACAAAATAACCAAAACACTAAACAACTGCCACGCCGAAGCGAAAGCCAGTCCCCACCTGCCAGTAACCAGTAGCCAGTTACCAGTGCCCAAGGGCTGGAAACGAGGCCTGAATGGCCCCCAGACCTCAGAACCCAGAACTCAGCCCTCGTGGGAAATTTCTATATGGCTGTGTAAATACAAATCGCGTTTGTAGGACCGACGACTATAATATATAGTAGCGCACTGACACAGTCGTGTCGTGCATATACTTGATGTAGGCGCTACTACAATGCTGTACATATGGACTCACGGCTTTACGAGGTAAAAAGCCACTTTGTTATAACATTCCCGTAGTTGCTGTTGCTGCTCGCCAACTGACAATGGAATGGAGTTTATTTTATTTTCGCTCGGATTGTCTTGCTGTTGATTCCGCTTTATGTCCGCCCGTCGAGCTAGTTAGCAGCTCGCGAGTCGCTAGACTAAACTTGTTGTCAGCCAGCCAGTCAGTCAGTCAGTTAGGGCTAATTGACGCCAGGCAGGACATTCGTTGCGTTCTCTTCCAGGGTATCGCGATGTGGCATAGTTGTTGCGGTTTATGGCCTCAGCGCGTGCGGCACAGTCAGCCACTTTGATTAATGGTCGGCTGCCAACTGACAAGCGACGATGACGCCAACAAAGGGCGACATCCCGGGCCGACTCCAACTCCCCCAGCTCTTGCGTATAATCGAATGAACTATTTCCGCAATAACGGCAACAGTTTGTCGGTTTATCCAATCCTTCGTTTATAGATATCACTTAACATATACGCCTGTGTATACATTTCACATTTAAGCCTAGAGAAAAGAGCGGAAACTTAAGCTAGACAATGGACGCTCCTTGCTGGTTGGTTCGCTGGTTGATCTTCACGTGCGTCTGCCGCTTCTTCTCCTCCTTGAAGGCCTCTGTGTTCGCCTTCTTTTCGATGCGGCGCTCGTTGCGATAGTCCTTAAGCAGGCGCTTCCGCTCCTTTTTCTCTTCGGCGGTTTCGTCCTTGGGCCTGATGGACAGGACGCTCAGTGTGGAGAGAATCGATTTGGCGCACAGTGATTTTGGCCCCGTTGCAGCGGGCGATTCATCGGCCAGATTGGCCAAAGCTTTGGCTGTCAGTTGACCATCAACTCCGCCACGAAGGACATTTGTGGGCAGCCCCGTCTTGGGATCAATGTGGATGGGAGCCGGATTTGTGCTGGCACTGGAGCGACGACTGCGCCGCGGCTCGTCGATCACCTTCGGGTGATTGTAGATATTCGAATAGGTGGACAGAATGGACTCACAGTCCCACTTCTTCTGCTTGGGGTCGTCCACCTCGTAGTCCACCAGCTCCTCCGTGGGATCCTGCTCGCCCTCGACCACATTGCGATACTTTTCGATGCGCTCGCGATCCCACTCCTTGTTGTACTCGATGCTCTTGTCCTTCTTCTTGAACTCCTGGAAGCACTGCATGACCACGGGATGTTTTTGGTGCCAGTTGCCCTCGATGTCCTCCAGGGCTAGGTCGCCCAGCTCGGGATCGTCGTAGGAGGCGTAGAACTTCTCGAAGCGATCGTCCAGCAGGGAGAGCTGCTCGTTGCGACGGATCACGCTGGAGGACATCGAGTACTCCGTGAAGCGAGACTTGAGCTCCTCGTCGTCGAAGCGACGTTCGCGCATGAGGGGCGCCAGGCGGTCCATAAGCTCGTCCTCGTCTTCCTCCTCGTTCAGGTCATCCGAGTCGAAGTCCATGTCGGAGTGCTCCTCCTCCTCCTCCCCTTCGCCATCCCACTCCTCGTCATCGGAGTCGCCCTCGGCCATGGCCTGCATCACGAAGTCATCGTCCAGGTCCTCGTTCTCGCAATCGCTGTCCAAGGCGGCCACCACATCGGGATCCCAGTCGAGACGCAATGTCTGCGGAGCCGCCTTGTTCAACATGCCCTCGGACTCCTCAAACTCGCTGGCAAAGACGGAGCTGGGCAGGACTAGCTTGGGTGCCGGGCCTGGCTTCTCGGAGCCCTCCGGGAGCTTGTGTTTCCTCGCCTGATTGGGATTCTCCATGAATTCCCACACCACATCGTTCTCGCGCTTCTTCAGATGCTGCATGTAATCGTAGTCGTCGTCGAAGTGGATGCCGAACTTCTTCAGCTCCTCCTGCCGCTTGGCGGGATCAGTGGTGGTGGCAGGGGCCTCCTCCTTCGGCTTCTGCTGACGGGCCGCCGCCTCGAGGAGCACCCTCTGCGGAGCATTCTCATCGGTCACCAAGGGGTCGTGCTGACTGCGATGAACCAAATGGAAGGTGACCGCCTTCTTGCGGTCAATGTACGGCTTCTTGCCCTTAACCTGCAGTGGGAGATTGTCTTTAGGAGTATTGCTAACCAGATTTTAATAGTTTTACCCACCATTATTGGATTGTTTTCGTGATTTCTTTTGTAAATACAGAGAAACACATGTGCCTGCGTAGATGCCACCCAAAAAGGGATTTTTCTAGTTTCGCGCATACGGTCACACGGTTTTTATGGCACACCCTGTGGATGTTTCGTTCGCAGTGATGGACAACGACATAATTAATTCAAAGACTAGGCGCCAAATAGTTAGCAAGGGTATAGCATTATTTATTTGTTTTAATTTAAATGGCCTTTACTTTGGGCAATATATTCTTGGTATTCCCAAAACTGTTATATAGCTGAAATGTTAAGAAGTTATCAGACAAATTAGATAATTCAGGGAACATGAATTTACTGAATTAGAATTTAGAATTAACGACCAAAATCGACTCAAACTAATTTTGTAGTGTGTCTGGGGCCCACATTTTTCGGTTTTTCGAAAAAGTGTAAATGCAATAACTTTCGAAATGTAGAAGAAATTTTTCAAATCGGACCATATATTAAAAAGTTATGAGTTATAACGGGTATCTCATAGTCGAGAGGTACATCCTCTATAAATAAGGCAGACATTCGAATAACCAGTTACCGATATAGCAGAATTCGGTAGAAAAGGAGTCAAGTCGGTCAAAAAAACACATAAACGGTATAAATAAAAGTATTTATATTTTTATATTTATTTATTTATGGGTAAATTGCATTCGTGCAACAGGGAGAAGGAAGCGTTTTCGACCCCATAAAGTATACATATCCCAGAGTAGAAGAGAAGAGAATACAATAAAAACCAACGAAGCAATAATTTATTTCCTATTATATTTCCATTAATTTTCCGATCATTCCTATTGCAGGTTTATGATATAGTCGTCCGATTTTAATAAAATTTAATTCAAAAATTCAGAATTAGATATATACTTCCTGCAAAAAAAAAGACTTTATTGGGTGTCCTTCACTGCGTTGCAAACTTCTGACTGAAATCATAATACCCTCTGCAAAAGTATAAAAATGCTACAATTATTTGGAGCTTGAAAGATGACGTTGCAGTCTTTAAATCTATCAGATAACAAACCAAGAATTTAACTTTTAGGTTTTTTTTCTCACAATCCTTTCGAGTGAACTGAAAAGAATACAAAGAAGACGAGGCGACATCAACCAACCTCATTTTGACACAGAGACAAAATAACTAATCCATTTTAGAAACGTAAGAGTATAGGGTAGCTATAGTCGAGGTACGTAATGTGCGAACGTCGGGAACCACTTTAAGCCATAGCTTTAAAACGATCATCAATCGATTTTTGAAAGCAGGTTGCACACACAATCTCTCTCCAATATCTGCAATATCTGTCAATATTGTTCCCAATAACGGTTACACTTCAACCCCCAACAAATGTTGCACAGTCTTATTTACTTGGATATTTATTAGTTCGATTGTATTTATTTTATGTACATTTACAAACTTGTCGCTATGACATCAATTATACACTTGGGTGTGAAATATGTTTAAATTTCCATTCCTTACATTCAGGGATCTTTAATCTCAGTATACATAAACAAGGTCATTGAAACAATGCGTGTACGATACTAAAAATTAATAATAGTTAGTCTAAATAGTAAAATCATTCTCTTCTACCGATTACAAGCTTGCAAAATATCAACTTAAAGTAAATCAAATGTTTCGAATATCAGGCTCCTTGCTACGCGTAATTATACTCACAGTCCTTAAAGTTTTCTTTTTCCTTTCGTCAGTTAAAGTTAATTGGATTTTTTTGTTTATTTCATAACATTTCTCGACATGCACAGAAGAAATTCGAAACGAAGCTTAGTTTTCAGTTTGTAAACGATACTCTGAATAGACTTAAAATAAGTATACGCTAGTCACTTTTTGAAGATCGATATATAGTTATTGCCTATAGTGTTTTTTGGGAGCCGGACCCGAGCAGGTCGCTATTGTCTTTGGATGACCTCGCGAAGGTCCGGCGCCCTCAACTTTGATTTCATTTGTAGTTGCGATTCTTTACAGGTTTTTAGCTAATGTTTATAATGATAATTTGATTATTCCCTTAGTAATTTTGTTGCCCCCCAGTTGGGGGCATCACTAGACAAAAGCACTTGGATTGCAGCTAGGCTAGGTACAGTCTGGTCTGCCGAGAGTTTCAGGTAATTCTCAACTAAAATCCCTCACTTCAGCGCCTCCTTGGCCCTTTGCTCCCACTCGGCGCGTCTCTGGTGGATTCCCTTGAATTCGCCCACGGTGGCTGATCTCTCGATGGGTTTACTGGGTGTGGTTGCTGCTGCTGGTGCTGCAGATGTTGCAGGTGTTGCTGCTGGCACTGCAACAGGTGTTGCTGCCGGAGACGTTGGAGTAGTTGCCGTCGGGTTGGCCTGCTTCAGTTGCAGGGAAAACCTTTCCCCCGCGGGCTTTGCACTCCCATTGTTATTGAGGCTATTGCGTCCTTGATTGTTGACCTTGATGGGGGGCAGATAGGTGACCACCTTGGGCGGCACCTTCTGCTGCTGATGGTTATTGTTATTGTTGTTGTTATGGTTGAGATTGCGGAAGTCGGCCACCGAATTGCGATTGCTGCTGGGATGATGGTTCACCTGGGACTCGCCCTTGGGCGCCAGTTTGTCCAGTTTCTCCTCGCTGTTCGACTGGTTCTCCTTGTCGCTGTCCACGCTCTGACCTCCACCTCCACTGGGCGGCAGCTTCTTACTTGTGGCCACCGGAGCTGGAGGCTGTGCCTGCGGCAGGGTCACCACCTCGTCATCCTTCACCTTCAGCGAGCGGCGGGCAAAGACCTTCATCAGCTCGGGCGTGGGATCGTCTTTGGAGGGACTGCTGGTGGTGGTGGGATTGCCATTGCAGCTGGCAAAGGATTTCTTGCGCAGAACCACGGGATTGGAGGTGGGTGAACTGTTGCCATTAATCTCGCCTATTTCGGGAGTGGTGGGCGTGGACTGCAGTGGGGTGACTGGAATGGCGGGCGTGGCTGGGATCACCGACGGAGTGGGTGGTGCCTCCGCCTTGGTAATGGACTTCCTGCGCTGCTCCCCCGGTTTTGATCGCTCCTCGCTGAGGAACAACCGCTTGCGATCCTCCATCGAGAGGCGACTGCCGCTCTTCGCCGGCTCTCTGGGACTGACCAACGGCTCCTTGGCCTCCTTTGCACTCCTGGTAGCAATGGGAACGCCCTTCGACAGGCCATTGCTTTTGGGTGTGCTCGGGGTGGTGGCAGGAGTAACCGGGGTGGCTAATCCTTCGCTGCTACTGCCATAGCTCGTCCTCACACTCGTGGCACTCACGGATCGCAATTGCCGGCCCAAACTGGGCTCCAGTGTCGTCGGCCTGACCACCGGACTTAGGGGCTTTATGGGCTGGCTGTGCTCCACAATCTCAATTCCCGCCAGACCCTCGCCGCTATTCCGCCTGAAGCTGAGGTCATCGCTGCTCTGACTCCTTTCCGTGGGCGACTTCAGGTTCTTGGCCAGCACCAAGTGATTGGTCTTGTTGTGCAGACGCGCTTGGTCCACACGGTTCAACTGGATCTTCATGAACTCCGGCTCGCCGGTGGCCTCCACATTGCTGGAGTTGCGACGACTGCTGGAGGAGCTCTGCGTCTTGGCCGGAGTTGTGGGCGGACTGCTGGAGAGCTTGGCACTCTTGGTCAGAGGACTGGCAGGACTGGGAGTGGGATGATTCGCCGGAGCCGTGATCTTTGCTCCCAGATCCAGCAGCTTGGGTCGCTGCTTGGCCGGAGTAGATGGCTCCTTCGGGGTCACCTTCTCGGTCACCTTCTCGGTCACATTTCCCGACTTCCTCAGAACGCTCACCATCGGTGACTTGACAATCAGGTCGATGTTCTGCTCGATCTGGGAGATGTTTGCCGAGCCCGGACTGCTCACAATCAGCTTGGTGGTGGCCAAGGCCTTCTGCGGTGAGCTCTTGGCCGCCGAAGAGGGCAGCTGACCGGTGGACTCGGCTCGCGACTGCAGCAACTTGTTGTCGTTGATCTCGAATCCCAGGGAAACACACTTGGCACTGGGCGAAATCGGGGATTGCGGCGACTGCTTGTAATAGGCGGGCACCCGGAAACTGAGCGACAGATCCGGCAGGCTCGGCATGTTGTTGTGCACCGCGCCGGAGTCCACCGCCTCGTCCTCGTAGTTCCGGAAGCTGCGCGATTTCTCCACCGTCTTGCGCTGCTTCTCCTCGTAGTACAGTGGCGAGGGCTCATCCGTGCTGGTCTCCAAGGAGTTGGAGGAGCTGGAGTGCTGGCCCACTGAGTCGCTGGATCGCGACAGCTTCTGCTGGAAGGCGCTCAGGCCGACGATCTTTGCCTTCCGCTCGAAGTGCGTGGAGGACGTCGAGGAGGACTCCACTTTGGTCTGCTGTTCGCGCACCAAAGTGGTGGACTGGAAGGTGTCGTTGCCCCGCGAGCTCTTCGACAGCAAGTTGGTCACATCGTTGGAGGAGGAGGGTGGAGGAACCGCACCCAGTTCCTTGGGCAGGTAACGCTGCCTGGCCGCTGGACCCGATTTGGGCTTCAATGCCGTGGGCGGATGCGGATGGACGCCGTAGTTGCTGACCATGGCGTTCAGTCCGTGCTTGCCCTCGTTGTGAATCTCCCGCTTGATCGTCTGCCGCGTCTCCTGGATGTGCTGCTCGTGGGAGGTGGCACTGCGCGACTTGTCCGGCACTTGGAGGGGCTCCCGGGCTGCGGCCTCCAGGCAGGAGGTCGAGATCTGCAGCTTCTTGGCCACACTCTGGCTGGAGTCCGTGTCCTCCACGCCGTCGTTGGCCCTGGCAATGGATCTCTTCGAGTTCCGGTGGATCAGGCGGCGCAGGAAGCCGCTCTCGTTCTCCCTTTCGTTGGCCAGGAAGTCGTCGCAATCCGTGGACGACTCTCCGCGATTCTCCAGCAGCGCGTTGGTCCTGCTTGTCAGACCTCTGAGTCCGAACGTCTGGGATGTGGAGGAGGACGAGGAGGAGCTCGTCACTGTGGTGACGGTGGAGCTCTGCTCGATTGTCTTGGTTCGCTTGGTGGTCACCTGGTTCACCTGAGTCGGTGGCGCAATGGCAGTCAGAGTCTTCGGTGGCAACGAGCGCGTTTTGCTCTTATGGTCGGCTTCTAAGCGGGATAATCAAGACATTATATATAGCGATTCTGGACTACTTCAAATCACTTACCATGGACAGCTCTTAATCCAGGGCTCATTTTCAGCACATCCTCATTTGCCTCCGGAATGGAAGTCTGAAAGAAATGATCAGGTTAGTGCATAGAAATGTAAATTATGCATTCTTTTTGATAGGGTTTTGGAATAGATACTAACGTATAACTTCGTTATAAGGGTACACTCAGAAAACAATTTAAGTCCATTGACTTTTATTTAGGGAATGATGACTTTGAAATTGCTAACAAGTCTATACATGGACTTAAAAATGTTCATCCCACATAAATTACAAGTCTAAATAGACTAAAAGTGGACTTAAGTCCATGTAACAGTCCATATAGGTCCATTTTTAGTCCATTTAGACTTCAAATGTATATGGGATGAAATCCATGTATAACCATCCATCGTTCCTTAATTTAAAGTCCGCGAACTTAAATCAAGGTAATTTTTTTTTGGGTGAAGATTTTATATTAAGGAATTCAATAGAAAATGAAAAAAACTGTTCCGAAAACCATTGCAAATTTACTCCGACTTCCGATGCCCAGAATTTCAATTCATGAAGTTTATTACATCTAATCGGAAAACATTATTATCAAAATCAAATAGTGTGCCTTAGATCTTTGTACTGTAAAGGGGGTTTGTAATGTGTTGCATAGCCACTCACCTCCAATGTCATGCGATGCTGCCTGGTAGGTCCCTTCTTTTTCACCGGCCTGATGGCCATTTTGTGCTTGGCCGCCGCATGGGAAAGGCGGTGGCGTTCCCCGCCCACGGCATCCACATCGTCCTCGTGATGGGATCGCAGTATATCCGAGCCCACCGAGATGGATGAACTGGTGGACACCCGCGAGTGGTGACGGTGGTGATGGGAGCTCTGGCTGTCCTCCGTCTCCGCCTCGTTACTGTTGACACTCAGCAGGCTGAGCGAGGAGACCTCGCTCTGGTGACCCCGAGACTGGTGACCCACAGCGGAGGTATTCCTGCTGCTGCTGTTTCCGCCAGCTGCCCTTCGTTGTGGCGAAGCTGGGCTACGGGGTAGTCCCAAGTCCTCGTCGGAGGCATCGGGTCTATTACGTCTCTTGCGCAAGACATCCGTGAGTTCCGCCTGGAAATGGAAATAGAAAGGTGTTATTCGGGTTTCATGGTTAAGAACTGTGTGTCTTTATTTTTTTTCGTTGGTTGAGTTACCCAGCTCTTCCAGCGGAAAACGAATCGAGCCCGCAGACAACTGCGTCCCAGGCGACTCTCGCCCATGGAGGAGCCGCCCAGCTTCATCTTGAAGGGATTCTGTTTAAAGTCGATCATTTTGGAGGGCCTCACAACGCAGACGAGGCTACAAATGACTGATAGAGAATCCCCATTTTAACTGGGCAACTGTGGCTTCCCCAGAGACCTGCGATTCCGTATGATATATAAAACCCCTATAAATTCTTACCGCGAACGAAAGCTGGAAGGGATTGGCCTGCGCCCTCAGAGAACCCGAACCTCTGGCTACCATTGTGGCGATAATATGGGTACTATGAAAATATCTCAGCCAAGGGGATCACGCGATCTCAAAGATTTCACTTTCAACTCGAGCAGCGGCAACTGACGACACCCAAGTGCGATGTGCAACTGAAGATTTCGATGCAGATGCATCGAGAGTGAAATGAAAATGGAAATGGGAATGGAAATGGCGTCGCATTTGCCTTTTACCTAGACGAACATAATTGGGTGCAGGGCAGGCACTGGAGATCTGTTTATTGTCAGCTCTAGACCGAATTTCAAGGGTAAGCAAACCGAGCGAACCGAAAACTCTGTCCCAAAGTAAACAAACGAGTCCGAAACCGAGGAATAATCCCTCCTCCAACTCCCGGAATTCCCCGTCTCTTTCGCATTTCAAGTCGTTCATCTATCAGTGTTTGCGGCGCGTGACGTCGCCATCTGTTTCTTGGACTCATTTCTAGTGGGGTTGCTATTTTTGGGAGCTCGTTGCCCGAGGATTAAGTGCCGGGTTGGTTCAGGTTAAAGACCTCGCCCATCAGTTCTAGTTAAACAATTGCAATTGGGGATTTAAGGGCGAGTTCAATGTTCTGCAAGTTGATTAATCTGGGCGCCTGCATCCCGATGCACTAATTAAGTCACGTTATTTTAAAGAATATTACATTTTAACGAATTGTTACGATAGATTCGCACAAAAAAAAAATATCAAGCATATTATCAACGTTTTAAAAGTAATTTCGATTCCAATTTTGAATCTATAAACTCTATAACTCTCAATAAAATGGTAAGCTAACTAAACGTTTGTATTTAATGTTAAAGAAATACTTTAAAAATCAAAAAAATTTATAATGAGAGGAAAACCCACAGAATAAACCATTTCTTTTCTAAATTGCTTCCACCTCGCACAGTACTTTCATACTAAATCGGAATATTTTACATAATCTTGGACATCTGCTCTTGCTTCGTGGAATTTTTCGCGGTGCCAGGAATACCAGGCAGGTAGTTCCTATCCTGCGACCCTTAACCCATTATCCACCGGACAGCCCAAGCTACCTGCAGCGGATAGCGACTTCTTAGCCAAGTTCCACTTCCCATTTGAGTAGGAAAACACGACCCGTCACGTTCACTGATTTATTGGCCCACTTGGCGAGTGGGCCAACTGACGGGGGAATGGAGACGGGGACTGCCGGGGGAAAAGGGGAACCAGTCGGCTAGTTGGATAGTCGGCTCCCAACATGGCCACACACACAACACAGCCGCCAACATTGATTACCGCAATCCGAAAGACGGCGGTTTTCGTCCAGAGAACGGGCACAACAGTTGGCCAAGTGGGAGGCAAGTGGGAGGCAAGTGGCAATCGCTTCGAATTAAATGCAATTGCATCATTGCGCCGTCCGCGTTGCATTTCAAATATGAGTTAAACAAATGGCCGCCATCTGCAAGTGGGATAAACGCTCTAAAGTGTGTGCATTTAGCCGGTAGCCTAGCCCCAATCGCATCGAATGGCCAACGTGAATTGACCCTGACTTCGACCGTAGTCTTTAATGGAATATGGATATTTATGTGGCTCGATTACGTAGCAGATCTGAATTCATTGATATACCCCTGCCAAGTGGGTTAGGATCAGATAAACGGTATCATTGCTTTGCAATAAGATCAAGAGCTTTTTATATATTATATAGCTTAGAATTGTATATTTTGGATATAGTTGAAAGTAGTGCAATTAAAATGTGCCCTCTTAAAGAACAGAGGTAACTAACAAAAGAAAAGCAATTTATAGTTTACCTTCTAACTTGTAAATTCCTAAGTTCTCCGACAATTTGTAAGTTCCTAAATGAAATAAACTTTTTAAAAACTTTCCCTTTAAATAGTTTCCAAATGGCACGGATATAGTTCGTTAGTTGCACATACTAGAAACATAAGCTTAGCTTTCTCCGAAGCAGCCAGACCATGTTGGGTACTCCAAGAACCCTTCTGCCGACTCTCACCCATTTCTCGAGTCGACTCCTCTGGCTGCCTCACATCCATCAAATCAAATACAATCGCCTCGAATCAATTTCTCCTCGGCAGTTGGCCGTTGGCTGTCTGCTGTTGGCTGTCAACCCAAGTGGCGAAAAGTGGCGGAAAGTGGGGCCGGGAAGTGGGCCAGAGTAGAAGTGGCCGGCCAATATGGACATGGGCCGCATTTCTGAGCCCCCGACTCCAGAATGCGCCCATCGGCGTGCGAAGAAACGCAATTAAAATCCCAACGCGGATGCACCGACGATGATTGGACATGGGTCCGAAAATGTGCTCCTAATGGATGCGGAAATCTGGGCGATAGGCAAATGCAGTCATGGCTGAGGCATTGCGCAATGTCTGGAATGGAGCCCACCAGACGGGAAGTGTCACAGATCTCATGTTGCTGTAAACGAATGTAGGCCGAAAATGAAATTTCGAGTGTCGGGAGCTAGGAAGTCGGAATGTCGGTACTACTGAGGATCCCTCCTTCCCCCCGATCCCCGCCAGAGTTGGTCAATTAGCGTGCAGCGTGTGAAATGTTGCCCCCCAATCCACATCCACATCCCCATCAAAATTAAAGTCCAAGTCCGATGACGGCCATGCTCGCTCCCAGGCGACTTTAATGCGTGTTACCGTGTTACCATATCGCTGTCATTCCAAGTCGTCCGGGCTAAATGCCCACCTCTTTCCACCAATCCCCCCAGATCTCTGGATAACCACATCCCCCGTCCACCGATCGCCGCCTGCAAATTGCCCGACTGCATTGTCATTTAGTTTTTCCATTATGGCCATCGTGTAGATGTTTTTCTCTTTCTATTTATCCGCAATTAATTCATCAAACTGGTTGGCCAAGAGCTCTGGCTCTGTCTCTGGGATCACATCTGCTGGCTGGTAAATATTTATAGACCTAAGCTCGTTTCCCGACCTGCTCTTCAGCTTTTCAAAAGAAAATCGCCAAGCCATCTCAACTGACTGGAGGATTAACAGGGAGCCCAGGACAGAATGGTCTTAGAAGATGTGTATACTGGAGGAGCAGAGTTTTTAGAACCTGAATCTTTTCCTGGGAATGCGTTCTGTGAACTCAAGTTTTATTCTTGAAAAAATCACCTTGATCGTTGTAGGAAACCTTACTAAAATACCTACAATATTTACCTAATGGATATGAATATATTATTTTATATGAAAAACTTTCGAGGGACTATAATATGATATATTTTATAAATCTCATATATTTAACGAGTTAAAACAATAAGCTCTCAAGAACTATCTATCTATTTATCACTATAATTCCTTCCAGCATTATGGACTTCCGTATATCTTTGCTTGCTATACCATCCGAAAACTAAGGAATCGCAGTTCTTCCAATCTCCACCACAGTTACCCAGTTGGACCGTTAAATCGCTGGTTCGGTAACTTCTTCACTTGGCTAGAGTCCAGGAATCCCGAGGATCGTGGACATAGCGCGGATCGGAGTTGGAATCGCAATCGGGAAACCGACGAGCACACAAGTTGTCTTCACTGGCTAAAGTCTCGATGCAAACTGATTTAGCGGAAAACTTGCAGGAGTTCAATAGCATAGAAACAGAAAGAAATGCGATTTATTTGCTAACCAGGTTGGCAAATAAGCTGGGAGCTCCGAGGAGTGCAAGGCGGGGGGCCGGGAGAAATGAGGAGGACTGGCCAAGTGGAAAAAAGTGGAATAACAAGAAGCGGCCAAGCGACCATCGGCTGGCAACTCGTTTGTCCAGAAACCGAAGAAGCAATAGAAGTAACAGCCGACTGCCAGGAGAAGAAGCCGCAAATTGCCACGCGCTGAAAGAGGTGGAAAATCGCCGGGAAAAGCGGGAGTTCCAAGGGGTGAAGTGTATGGCGGGCGGGACGAAGACTTACTGCATTGGCTACACAGAAAGAAAATATAGCATCACTTGTAGTTAGATTGAAACCGATTTTAGATTGATTTTAAAACTGACTCAAGCAATCATTTGATATGTAAAAAAGTAATTAAACAAGTTTAATTAAGCTTTAGGTATTCGAACAAAAATTTAAATCATTTATACAACATAACAACAAAAGGTTTCTGATTTTAAAATTATTTATTTGATTTTATTTAAACGAATCTAGGGCAAATAATTTTAAAGAAATCCTTCTAATTTAGCAATTAAAAAACACCACAATTGTTTTAAGTGTAATTCCTAACATTGGTTTCGGTTTCCAGTTGCAAAACGCGTGCGTCGGCTACAGTTTTTCTTTTTCACTCAAAAAAGAAGTGAAAAACGCTCAACCGACTTATGCAGTAAATGTGATAATGATGTACATTATGATGTTTGGGTTTATTAGATAACCATCTTATCCAGACTATTTCATTTTGGACTTTCTTTTGGCACAACTTTTAATTCGATTTAATTTAGTTGTGTGTAATTGTTTTAAAGGAGCTAAAAAGTTGTTTCCGTTGTACGCAGCTATTTAACTCATCGCAATAGGAAACCGCAGTTCTGTACCGAAGGTATGAATTATAATCAGCTCATAAATGTGTTGAAAAAGTTGTTTTCAATCTCAGACATTCCGAAAATCCGAAACAATCAAACAAAACCCCCAATCGAATATGAGTCAATGGACTCTGCGGGAGATTCGGTCAGCACAAATGCAGATATGCCAACAAAGGCACCAATTGAATTTGATTAAAATCAATTTAGATTGATTGCACCACAACAAGCCAGATAACAAAAACATCAAGCGGATTTCCCCAGTGACCCAGGGGCCTTGAACTTTTCTCTATGAAGAGATAAAGAATAGGTTTTCTCCGGTATAAAGAGTAAAGCTAAGATCGGAAAAAAGGCAGAACAATATATATTTTTTTGAAAGTAAAGTTTTAATTTAATCTAAAACATCTAAAACATCACGAAAAGCCATTAAATTCCAATATCCTCGAACCTACTATTTTCATAATTAAGAAAATATTGCTATTAAATTTTATTGGAATTTTCTTTAAAAGTTATTATCGATTATAATCGACTTTTCAATATACAAACATATACAAAAACTCACCTTGAGTACGATAGATAGACTGCTGGCTGTTGCTGATTCGGAAAAGACGCTGTCGTGGGACTGAGAGAGGGCATCTCGAGCGTAGTCCCTAAAATCCAAGATTAAAATACCACGGTCATAGCGAAGAGGAGGACAACTCACCCGTCCACGTCCAGGAGGCGACCCTCGCTGAGGCTGCGCTGGCTGTCGGAGATGTCGGCGGGGCCACTAGGACCTGATCCTGATCCTGATCCCGAGCCGGAACCAGATTCCAGTTCCTGCGAGGAGTCGCCCACACTGCGTAGATGTCGCTGTTGGATTCTCTGGTCGGCAAAGTAGCTACTCCGGTTCAAGCCAAGGGAATCCGGGAAGACGGCCACTCCCCCATGCTGTCGCTGGGCCTGGAACATGGCTTCCTGTTGGGATTGCGACTGCGATTGGGACTGGGACTGTGACTGGGAGTGATCCTGCTTGCTGGCCCGCTTTTTGCCAAGGAGCACGCTCAGCAGCTCATCGCGATGGGAGCCGTAGGATTTGGATTTGGGCAGCGATTGGGTTTGATAGTTCTCCTTCAATTGCTGCGAATTCAGAGGAGATCCCGGAGGCAAAGCTATCCCACTGCGCAGATTTTTCTCACTGCTGCTGCTGGCGGGCGGTGGCAAGGTGTTGCAGGATCCGGGTCCTGGCGACTGACAGGATGCAGGACTGTCCGCCGTGCTATTGAGAGTGCGTCGCCGGAAGATGCGCCGCAGGTTGCGGAGCGGATGGAAACGGCGACGCTTCTGCTGTTGCTGATGATGTTGCTCTGGAAGGACCAAAAAAGATGCTTAGCTACTGGACTTAATTTGAAAACATTTTTTTTAGGCTTTTATAATCTGAAATACAGAAGGCGGCAGATATCTGCACGCATGCTGGTGTCAGAAAAAAGTATCTGAATTTTTTATATATTCCGAGAAGAAACTCTGTTTTAATTCCTCATTCCGCGGGAATCATAAAAATTTAATTTAAATTAAAAATATTAAAAAAAAACAAATTTAAAAAGATATTACAGATTTTTAACATCTTATACATTTAAATAAAAAAGCAATACAAAGCCAAAGATGTTCACGCATTTAAAAAATTATTATTTTTCTATAATTTAAAATTTATTTTGGATTGGATGCCAATAAATAAATCTTCATTTCTTTTTATGAAAACATGGAAATATATTTCAAATTTTAAATGTTCATCGGCACCCTTCCATGATAATTTGATTTGCCTGCCTTATGTGACGCAACAAGGTATAACAATGTCAACCATCTATTCGTAGCTTCCCCGTTGATTGACATTTGGGGCATAAATATTCTAGAGTGAGAGCAAAATCTCTTAGGGATTAGGTTTTCACACTCAGGCGTAGGGAATTCAATCATCAACGGTGGGAATTACGTTATCGCAGTAACAGCCACGGAATCTTACGTGCTCCATTCCTTTAGTAGATTCAATTTTAAAAATTGATTTCCATTAAAGTGCTGATGGAGAAATTCAATTCAAAAGGAAATACGATTCGTAATCGAAAAAAGTTGTAAATAAAACCATAAACAAAATATATTCATTGAAAAATAGTTGATAACTTCCGAGGAAGTGACAAGAAGTCAACTTCCTCAGTTACTCAGCTGCTAAACCAAGAATTGTTCTGTCATTCGTCAATAAGTGAAGACCACAATATACTAAGAACAAATTGAGCGATAAGAAGTAAACAATAAACGGGCGAAAACGAAACGAATGGGACCAAAAACATGACCATAATAGGCAAAAGCTGAAGACCTCTCAATGGAGGGAAGTTCCCAGCCGAATGAAAGGGAAATACGGACAGATTGCAAGAGTGAGAGAGATGGCTTATATGGGGGAAGCGTCGATAAGACCGATCGGACACCACGTGAAAAACCTGTACTTGGAATTACTGGACAAGGTCGAATCTTATCTTTAAAAACGGTTTACATATTTGCAATTTCGTGAACAAAGAACTTTTACCCAAGAAAACCCAAAATTTTACAGGATTCTTCCAGTGCAAACTCTAGAATATTAAAACCTCTAAAAGTCAAATTATAATGACTGCATTGGCTTTTATGGCTCTTTCATTTTACGGCCCTCTCCAATAATGTTTGTACACATTCAATAACCGATAAGGTAGAAGAAAGAACGACGGTTGGTAATTCCTTATCGATCACAGAGAATAAAGAAAGTTACACAAGCTAGTAAGTATACCTATGCATCAAAGTTAAGTGAAGTGTAAATATTACGACTTGGAGCTTATGTTACGTAGATGTTATGAAGAAAACTATTAAAGCTGTTTATAATCAATAATATGGAATCCAAACCCATTATGAACTCGCTTAACCCAAAACAAACTGATAAGCTTTTTAGTCATCTCCGAAATTCGGCATCTCTTAAGTGACTCACTCGTGGAAATTTGTGTGTCATTACCAGAAATGAAAGTTCCTCAAGCAAATACTCCCAATGGAAAGTCTGCATTCCAACCCAAGTAAGTCCATATATTAATTAGAGAAAAGAACCCAACTGAGCGGAAGTACAAGAATTTCTAAAAACCAATATCAAAGAACTCTGCCAAGAAAGCTTCGACCTCTAATCAAAAAAACAGTCACGTTTTGGGGCCGCGACACGCGAACAGCCAGAGATACTACATATATTTACGAATGTATATAAATTTGTTTATGGCCAAACACATGTGTTGTCATGGGTACGAATACTTCATTTATGTTTCTTTGTTGATGGCTTGATTTTAATGAATAATTTCACCTGCGTTGGGGCTGGTCATCGCTGGCTTAGTCATGGAAAAAGAAGTAATTCGCTATATAAATATTAACCGAGGGGTAGTGACACCCACCGGCACGTCATTCTATTTATTGCCCCTCGGGGTGTCTGGCTGTCTGCTCTCCGAAAATTGCTTGGGGACCTCGCTAATGGAATTTTAACCGCCCAAGAATGGGATACATGTACTACCACCCCCTCTGACAAGTGAAAATTGTTTATTTATGGAATGCCTAATTGGGTCAGCAGTCAGACTTTTTTCGTCACTTCTGCACTTGGCTAAAAAGTTCCTTAATTAATTTTTCAAAGATTCGCCTGTCTTTAATTGAAAAGTTTGACGACGAACTCAGTGATTCACTTTATGAGGCAATCCCGATTACATCAGCATTGTGGATAAATTATTTCTAATTTATCTAAAGACTATTGAGCAAGATTTCATATTACTTTAGGTCCCGTATTGTTCACTTCGCTTTGTGTGCTGTCATCAGTTTGGGTTTCGCTTTTTCCGCGAATGTGGGCGAAATCTTGGCGTCATTGTCATCTTTGGCTTGGTTTTGGTTTTGGGTTGGTAATTCATCAAAACTGATTTGGGGCTTTTCAATTTGGCAACCTGATGCCTTGGGATTAATGTTGGCTCTAATAGCTTTGTGTTTCGAGTGCCCACGTGGGCTTTCGGAGGTGTTCAAGTGACACCAATTGCCATTCGATTCTGAATTTGCAATTCCAAAAAGGTTCGGCTGCTGGCAAGTGGGCTCGTTATTTATTAATTAATCATTGGCAAAAAAAAAAACAAAGTTGTTGCCCCACACTCAACATGCAAATTGTGCAAATCAAATGGCGAACAACTTTTCAGCCAGTTGCAGTAATTGGAGACCTTTTTTTTTTGTTGCCAACGGATGTGAGCTCGACCAGCTCTTGGGATTGTTGTATTGGGTAAGGTCAAGTGGGCCACGCCCACATCCCACCCGACCGCCCCCCGGGGAACACCCCATGTGGGCAGCTTATCCGCTTAACAAGTGCTGAGTTCACTTGCGTGGAATAAAAATAGCGAACCACCGTGGAGAACGAGAAGAACCAGCACCCGAAGCCCCGAAGAGCTGGGCAAAAGCTCCAAGAATTGCACAACTCTCGCACAAAAAATAACAAACGGGTCTCTCGGGGCCTTCAAATGTTGGCTTTACTCGTGCATATAGTAAATTGCAATGCTGTAAGCCTCGAGAATTGAATTGAATGTTATATGCCGATGGATTAGCCAAGGTTCGTTGAGTTCGTTGGTCAAAGAGTCCAACAAGGCGTATGATTAATTACATCCACACTGCGAATAATCGGAGAATTGCCAGTCGACTGCTGCGTAATTCTTCCAAATAGAAACTGAGATACAGTATCAGTGCATTTGCGGCTATATAGATTAGACATAACGCCCAATAGCTATAAATAACTGGGTAGTGGAGCTATCAGAGAACTATCAAAGATTGTAGAGAAAAGGAAATTGTCACACAAAGTAATGCCCCTCTATATGTTTAGTTAGGTACTACTTGTAATTAGATCATTACTTGAATCGTAAGAAGTGAGGTAATGAAAGTAATAATAATAATATATTTCATATATTTATCAAAGGAGCCTCATTTTTTTCTTTTCGTTGCTTGGCTAGATTTTGTCAACGGAAACTTTCAAGTGCAATTAGTAAGTATATTGGCTAATCAAGATTTATTATAATGACAATGTTATAAAAACCAGGGACCGTAACAGTTATAAGTTTTACTTTAAAAGTCATCGATTAATCGTTATTCAGCACCTTTTATTTATAAGTCATGACGTAACTGTTATTTCAGACTTTTAAAATAAAAGTCAGAAAATAACAGTTATTTTTTGACCGAAAAAATAAAAGTCCTCCGTAACTTTTATTCATGACTTTTATAATAAAAGTCTAAAAATAACTGTTATTTTTAGACTGAAAAAATAAAAGTCAAGATAACTCTTACGAAAAGACTTATAGTAAAAAAATCATTAAATAACTTTTATTTGGTGATCGAAAATATATAAGTCTTAAATATCTGTTGCTCAATTGGAATTGGAATTTTAAAGGTTGCAATTTGTACTTATACACATGAATTCTTCAACATAATAAGACCGCGAATTCTTCAGACCTAGAGGAACCATTAATGACCATGGTAACAATTTTTAAAGTTCTAACCAATACAGCCATTCATGAATTCTTCAACATAATAAGACCGCGAATTCTTCAGACCTAGAGGAACCATTAATGACCATGGTAACAATTTTTAAAGTTCTGACCAATACAGCCATTCATAAAGTCATAAACATAATAAGACCGCGAATTCTTCAGACCTAGAGGAACCATTAATGACCATGGTAACAATTTTTAAAGTTCTGACCAATACAGCCATTCATAAAGTCATAAGCATAATAAGACCGCGAAATCTTCAGACCTAGAGAAACCATAGGCTCTTACATAGTAAAACTTTTTCACCAATCGAACCCCGCAGTGCTACCGAATATGTTCAATATTAAAAATGCATTTGACGTATTTTTATAATATAAAATTTATATTTCATTGAATTTGTTGTTGAGTTTTACAAATAATATTTTTTCAAGCGACTCAGGGCTTATGTTGCTTCTTAAGTCGCTTAAAACTAGTTTCAGTGCCGAAAACGAGCGCTCCACGCTCACTTGTGTGGCCGGCACTGAATGCACGACCCTAGCCAGTTGATATAAATATGGCAATTTAAATTTAACCTTCTCCCAATATTCCATTACGTCAATAGTGGTATCGATTGGCTTAGGGTAGTAGCTTTCAATTTCCCAATAAGCTTCTCTGAGTTTGGCTCCTACTTCGTCACTACTATCCTCTTCATTAGATTCGCTAGGTATTGAATTTAAAAATTCATTTAGCAATGATGATGATGATGATAATGATGATGATGATAATGATGATGATGATGACGATGATAATGATGATGATGATGATGATGAACT